TGCATCAGGATAATGTGAGTACCTGGATTATTGAGCATGCATCAGGATAATGTGAGTCATCGTTTAGTCTGATGAACAAACGTTTGACTTTAAACACGTTTAATCGTCTGATTTTTGCAGAATCCATCATTGCTCTGAGGAATAAAAAGGTTTCAAAGAGTCAAACTTTTCAGATAAGTTATCTGGTTTAGACAATAAGTTAATTCTCTTTATTTTGCTTTAATTAAAACTACCTGGAAGGAATGCACATGGCCTCACTCCTTCATATCGTCTTGGAACGGCTGTTTTGATCAAACTTCTAAAGTTATGTTGTCTGTGATTTTGTGCAACGTTACAGAACGTTAATCCTTTAGAGCTTAGATTGTGTGTTGTAGAACAACTACAGCTACTGCCACACCAAAGTTTAGCTAAATAAACTTACTAGTAACCGAGTTTTAGCGGTTTGTGTGTCGGCTACGTTTGACTAGCTGTTGCAGCCATCTTGAACTGGACTGACTCCCAATGTCAAGGAGCTATAGATGTTCATCCAGGGACTACTTTCTGAGCAGTTCATGAGATATTTTGCTAACAGACCGACAAATGAGCACATACCGTATTTTTCGCTGTCTAAGTCGCAGGTTTTTTGCATAAAATTTCATACCCCGCGACTTATACAGGGAAGCGACATATTTTTATTTTTTGCATATTTATAAACCAACGTTTGTCTGAGATCTGACGATTTCATTCATTCTGACATGGAAAATATTGAACACTACCATTTTCAGCCACTAGAGGGCCCTCTACTAATATGGCAAGCCAAGTGTCTCGTTAATAGATAAAAGTGGCTATTAATGAGACACTTGGCTTGCCATACAGGCCACCGTCGTCTCGCTCTGGAACTCCTGGAGCAAACGTCACATTGCATTTATTAAAGAAAAGTTCATCTGAGACACCTTTGCTATAACGTTGAGCAAACAACTGTTTTTAAGAGGTAATCTTGTTAAATTCTTGTTCAAGTCCTCCCGTGCACGTTCCTGCAGCCGCCATTTGGCAGCCATTCGATTTTTGGCACAACACCGGCCACATTTCCAGGTTGTCAGCGGTGACGCATAATAGATGCGACTCATGCGGCGAAGCAACATATTGATGGATTTTTCCACTTAATTAGACATTTGGACTGATGCGACTTATGGGGCGGTGCGACGTGTACGGCAGCAAGTATGGTACACACACACACACACACACACACACACACACACACACACACAGAGATGGCAGTAACACTGCAATAAGAAGCCTGGCTTTAGTTTTCTCAAAGTGACATTATCTTTAATCATCAAAGCATTTAAACTTCTCAGTCTGGTAGTAAACTTTAGATTTGTCTGTCTAGACTTTAGGAATCAGATAAAGTTCCAACAATGGAGGTGTCAGCATGGAGGCTGAGAGCGTGAGGTTTCCTGTCTCTCGTCTGTCTCAGTGCAGCGGTGTGAACGAGGCATGAAAACCCTGGAGCGCCCAGGAGGCACGGTGCACACACCGCTACGCTGTGATCAGTCGCTTCTTGCATTGCTTTTTATTGCTTGTTTCAATAAAATGTCACAATAGACATGCTTTGAACATGCCTGTGTGTTAAACCTAAATGGATCTTAATTTGACATTTCTCAGCATGAAATAATCTTTGTCTAACACTCCGGCAGTGAAGGCAGCGGGCGATATGCATTCCTTCAGGGAGTCCTCGGCCTTCGACATTTAGACATCCTGTCAAAGACCCGCTACAGTCGAACACAGGAACATTAGAAACAGACCGTTTGTTTTCACTCGTCTCAGAATTCATTTTCATATTTCAGATCGTCGTCTCTGTTTGGCAGGAGCTGCTTCTGGCCGAGGCCTCGCGTCGCTCAAAACAGGAAGTCACGACCGGCTGCTCAATGACCCAACGTGTGGCGTGTTTTTGATGCGACACACCACCGTTCAGCCACGCTCACTCATCGACTCCTTCAGCAGAGCTGATTCTGTATCAGCTTCTTGTTTAAGAAGTTGTGCTGAAATGAGCCAGGAAAAACGGTTCAAAACAAGCTAAAGGTCTCCTGTTGATGCTTGAAATGTTTCCTGCTCCGCAGGAAGTTCTCCACAGGAAGTTCTCCACAGGAAGTTCTCCACAGAGAGCGACTCAGCAGTAAGGTTTTATTCTGGATGTCCTTCTTAACACAACCTGGTTAGAATACGCAGTGTCAGGCTTCCAGGACCGCAGCACTGACCACTGAGCAATGGAGCTCCTAGTTAAAAGTGGCAAAAAGCAGGTTGATAACAGCCGAAGACTAAATTAAAGCTAAAACTAGCAAAGCACCATGTAGCACAATGCTAGTTGGTGATAGCTGAGCACGAGCTTAAAGCCTAAAGTAGCAAAATACAAGTTGATAGCAGCCGAAAATTAGCTTAAAACTAAAACTAGATAAACACCAGCTAAAAGTAGCAAGAAGCAAGTTGATAACAGACGAAGACCAGCTTAAAGCTAAAACTAGCAAAGCATCACTTAAAATTAGCAAGAAGCAAGTTGATAACCAACGGATAGCTTAAAGCTAAAACTAGCAAAGCACCAGCTAAAAGTAACAAAAA